TTTCAGTGGGCACAACATCTTTATATTTTTTTTATGTGGCGCTAAGGATCGAACCCAGCGCCCCGCACATGCCAGGCAAGTGCGCTACCGCTTGAGCCACATCTTCAGCCCTAGTCATTTTCTTTCAATGAAACTTTACAAAAGATGAKATTAAAAGATGAGATTCACTAAATGCTTTTAAATGAATCAGAAAAAGTAATTAAGTAATATTTAAAAAATAAATCCCCACATCAATATCTTGATGAACACAGATGCAAAATACTGGCAAACTGCATACAAAAACAATGAAAAGATAGAGCACCATAATTAAGTGGGATTCATCCCAGGGATGCAAGGTTGGTTCAATATATGGAAATCAATAAAGGTAAATCATCACATAAATAGACTTAAAGACAAGTTCATATGATTATCTCAATAGATGCATAAAACACAAAAATACTGCATCCATTCATGTTTAAAACACTAGAAAAACTAGGAATAGAAGGAACATACCTCAAAATTATGAAAGCTATATATGACAAACCCAAGGCCAACATCATTCTGAACAGAGAAAAAACTGAAGCCAACATCATTCTGAACAGAGAAAAACTGAAAGCATTCCCTCTAAAAACAAGAATAACTCAGGGGTGGTCCACTTTCACCATTTCTATTCAACATAGTCCTTGAGACTCTGGACAGAGCAATTATAGAAAGAAAAGAAAGAAAAGAAAGAACGGGAAAAAATAAAGGAAAGGAAGGAAGGAAGGAAGACAAATAGGAAGAGCTCGAACTATTTCTGTTTGCCAACAATATGATCCAATATCTAGAAGACCCAGAAAACTTCTAGAACTCATAAATGAATTCAGTCAAGTAGCAGGATACAAGATTAACATCCATAAATCAATTGCATTCCTATACACCAATGATGAATCAGCTGAAAGAAAAATTAAGAAAAATATCCCATTCACAATAAACTCAAAGAAAATACTTGGGAATCAACCTAACAAAAGAGGTGAAGGACCTCTACAGTGAAAACTACAGAACTCTAAAGCAATTTACAGATTCAATGCAATGCCCATCAAATTTGAATGATGTTCTATACAGAAATAGAAAAAGCAGTCATGAAATTCATCTGGAAAAATAAAAAGCCCAGAATAGCCAAAGCAATCCTTGGCGAGAAAACACGAAGCAGGAGGCATCACAAAACTAAACATTAAAKTGTACAAAACAGAGCAATAGTAATGAAAACAGCATGGTATTGGCACCAAAACAGGCCCGAAGACCTATGGAACAGAATAGAAGACATGGAGACAAACCCATATAATAGATACAGTTATCTCATATTAGATAAAGGTGCCACAAATATACATTGGAGAAAGAGAGCCTCTTCAACAAATGGTGCTAGAAAACTGGAAATCCACATGTAGTGGAATGAAATTGAACCCTTATCTCTCACCTTGCACAAAATTCAACTGAGAGTGGATCAAAGACCCAGGAATTAGACCAGAAACCCTGCACTTAGTAGAAGAAGATGCAGGCCCAATACTCCAACATGTCAGTTCAGGAACTGACCTCCTTAATAAAGACTCCTAAAGTGCAAGAAGTAAAATAAAAATTCAATAAATGGATGGCATAAAACTAAAAAGCTTCTTCACAACAAAGGAAACAATCAAGAATGCAAATAGAGAGCCAGTATAGGAGAAATCTTTGCCATTTAAACCTCAGGGTATTAATTTCCAGGATATACAAAGAACTCAAAAAAACAACACCAAAAAAAAAAAAAGAAAAAAAACAGTCAACAAGTGGGCAAAGGAACTAAACAGACACTTCAAAAGAATAAACATGAACATTCAACAAATATATGAAAAAAATGTTCAATATTTCTAGCAATTAGAGAAATGCAAATTAAAACTACATTGAGATTTTATCTCACTCTAGCCAGAATGGCAATTATCAAGAATACAACTGACAATAAATGTTAGTGACGATGTGGGGAAAATGGAACACTCAAAAATTGTTGGTAAGATTGCCAACTGGTGTAACCACTCTGGAAAGTAGTATAAAGATTCCTCAAAATACTAGGAATGGAACCATCTTTTGACTCAGTTATCCCACTCCTCAATATACATCAAAAGGATTTAAAATCACGATACTACATTGATATAGCCATATCAGTATTTATAGTGGTATAATTCACATAGCTAAGCTGTGGAGTCAAACTAGGCGCTCTTTAGCAGATGAATGGATAAAGAAAATGTGGCATATGGCTGGGCCTGGGGGCACATGTCTGTGATCCCAGAGGCTCAGGCAGGAGGATCATGAGTTCAAAGCCAGCCTCAGYAACTTAGTGAGGCCCTAAGCAACTCAGCAAGACCTCCTTTCTAAATAAAATATAAAACAGGACTGGGATGTGGCTCAGTGGTTAAATGTCCCTGGGTTTAATACCCAGTACCAAAAAGAAAGAATGAAAAATGTGGAATACACACACACACACACACAATGGAGTATTAGCCAGAAAGAAGAATAACTTTTATGACATCTGCTGGTAAATGGATAGATCTGCAGACTATCATGCTATGTGAAATAACTCAACCCCAGAAAACCAAAGATCAAATGTTTTCTCTAATATGTAGAAGCTAACCCACATTAAGGGGTGGGAAGTAGAAGTTCAGTGGAATAGACAAAGGGGAATAAAGGGAAGGGAGGTGGGATAGGAAACGGAAAGATAGTGGAATGAATCTGACAAGACTTTCTTATGCACAAATATACTACAGTGAATCTCACCATTGTGTACATTGTATACTGGGGTATAAGATATAGTCCATGCATAACTAAAAAGAACCAATAAATAAAGAATTAAAAAATAAATAAATCTTACCTGAAAGAACTTATCTTTTAAAATGAAAGCAATCTCAAGCTTTTCATATTGGTCTATCAATTTCATTGTCAGCCAATAAAGTTCTATTAAAGGGCAATTTCAAAATTACTTAAGACATAACACATTTTGAAATAAAAACAGATACTTACCAAGTGGAGCTTTGAGAAAACGCCGCTCAATGCCCTGTTCTATTTGAAACAGTGCTGTTGCCAGATGATGTACCACATTGCTCACTGATTGTGGTGTACTTGCATTAGTTGAGACAGTACTCGGAGTTTCTGTTTTTATCCCCAAAAGTCTACAATAAAACAAAGAATTCGTGGCACTTAAAAACACTATTAGGTGAGCTGGGGCTGTAGCTCAGTGACAGAGCACTTGCTTAGCATGTGTGCGGCACTGGGTTTAATCCTTAGCACCACATACAAACAACAAAATAAAAGCATGCTGTTTATGTACAACTACAAAAAAATAAAAACACGATTAGGCGAAACTCAAGACCACTCATTCTTTCAAATATTTATATAGAAAGTTTCATAATTTCAAGGATCTGGTATAAGCTAATTGGGAGGACAGAGTCATTTAGGAGGATAAGAGGACAAATATTTGAAGAGAAGGTGGAAGAGARAAGACTTATGGGAAAGGTTTTAGAAAGGTGATGGTGATAAACCTTAAAGACTATGTATCTTCAACAGCTTATTTATATTTCTCTTGCTTCAGCTACTGGGCGAGAAACTAATAGCTGCCTCAACTAATTCATTAGCCTTCAGACTTGGTCCCTCAAAAATGAATCTCCACAGTGCAGCTACAATAATCAGTTAAAAGTGCAAACCCATTCAAAGCCTTTGCCCATGGTCTTTCTTGTCTAATATTTCCTTCCTCACCTTCAGAGCTCAGCTTTGCAATCAGGAACCTTCCTCTAGTATTTCCTTCAAAGTTCTTTCCATGTTCCACCAAGATAAATAATCCTCTACCCTACTATGTACTATATTTGTACTGGGAATTTACTTTTTTTTAATATTTAGTTTTTAGTTGTAGTTGGACATAATACCTTTATTTATTTATTTTCATGTGGTGCTGAGGAAAAAAACCCAGGACCTTGTACATGCTAGGCGAGCGCTCTACCGCTAAGCCACAACCCCAGCCCCGAGAATTTACTTTCTATCAGAGTCCTTACCCTGATCTATAATTGCTAGCTTCATGTCTCTCCATCATTCCCTTCTAAATAATAAACTCCTTAAGAGCATATATTAGCCAAAATAACCTTGAAAAAGTAAAAAAATATTTTATTCTAATGAGTTGTATTTTGGCTGTATTAGTATAAAGTGGAGTAATAGAGATCTTGTTGTTTAAAAAATGGTCATTTCAGTGATTAGAAATATTAAGGTGCTCATAAGTTTTTAAAAGAAGGAAAAGAAAGATTTACTTAAAAAAAACCCCAAAACCTTAAAATTAAAATTGCAAGGAAAAATTGGTTACTTTAGAAAAATTCTTTTTGTACCTGTCTTTTACTATGACCCTTGATTGTTCATCAATTTGCATCTCTTCCACATCTTCATTCACAGTTTTAATTATTCCATTTTCCTTGTTTTCCTCACTTAATAGCTCGTATCGTCCACTTTCTAAGGCTGATCTCCAGATGTGTCTATCTGTAACCTGAAACAAAACATAAATTTACTAACCTGGAAAACAGAAATGTTGGTCCTAAAAGACATTAAACTTAATTTACATATAAAATTAATTTATAGATATTCTAGAACAGATTTATGAATAAAAAAGGAGTATAAAAGTAAGGTTCCTCAGTGGCCAAAATGGAATTCATATCATTCATATACAAAAGCTTTAATACCTTATTGTTTAAAAATATCATAWATGACTTTAGGATTGGTCATTAATTTAGGAGCAAAAAAGTGACAGAATATGACAAAGGCATAAACAGAACAGGTATATCAAATAAGAATTACTTACAGATTTAAAAAAGGTAACAAAGAAACCAACAAACAAACCAGACTCAGCAGAGAAGGCAGGAGCTAGTCAAGGAAGAAGAAAATATCCTTACACATTTCAACATCTGATTAAAATATTGAACATTTTTTAAATATTAAAAATATCAAAAAGATAAATTATATTAATTAAATTCTGTTTAAGAAAGTAGATAGTCATTTAATATACTTAGGATTTGTGTCCATATATAAACATTATGATTTAGAGGAATAAACTTAATCTTCATAAAAGATATATACTTTCCTGATGTTTATTAAAAACACAAATTTTACATATACAGATAATCAACAAATATGATAAAAATCTGGACTAAGCAAATTAGATAAACTAAAATGTGAAYAGGTACAAACCTTGATTGATCCTAAAGTTCCTTGATAGATTCTGTCTTCAATATCCAAAAGAAAATCTCTCAGCCTCAATTCAAGTTGCTTTTCTGCAGACATCTGAGATGGATCATAGGCACTGGAAGATCTTCCCCTAGTATACATATGCTTGCTATCAGTTTGAGGTTTGTCTGAAATAGAATCAAATGTTTTTTGATTTTCTTAAATATAATGTGACTGTTACAATTCTGAGATGGTGGATGTAAAAGCACTTTGTAAATCCTCAATAAGCAAATGATAAATAAATATTTGCAAATCATATATCTGGTGAGGGCCTGTATTCAGAACAAATAAAGAGCTCATAACCAACCACAAAAAGATAAATAACCCAATTGAAAGGTGTGCAAAGGATCTGAGTAGATATTTGAGATATATAAATGGTCAATAAGCAMATGAGAAGACGCTCACCATTATTATTCATTAAAGGAAGACAAGTCAAAATTACAGTGAGATACCATTTCATGCCTCTTAAGATAACTATAATCAAAAAGTCAAATAATTTTAAGTGTTAGAAAAAAGTGGAGAAATTGGAACCCTCATACACTATGGGAGAGAAAATTAAACAGTGTAGTCACTTTGGGAAACAATCCAGTATTTCCATTCCTATTGTATAAATTCAAGATAAATGAAAACCTATGTCAACACAAAACATGTACATGAATATTTATAGCAGCATTTTTCATAACAGCCAAAAGGTAGAAACAAACTAAAGGTCTAGCAACTAACAAATGCATAAGTAAAATGCAGTATATACAAACTGTAGAATATTATTATTTGGTGATAAAAAGAAATGAAGTTCCAATACATGCTATATCCYGGATGAACCTTGGAAATATTGTGCTAAGTGAAAGATGCAATCACAAAAGACCATATGTCATATGATTCGATTCATAGGAAATTCAAGAACAGGACATTTTACAGAGACAGATTTATCTAGAGCAGAGGGAGGATTGGTGGGGGACAGGGGAGAGAAATATAGCAGAGTGGTAGATAAAATCTACAAAATTTCTTTCTGAAAGGAGAGAAATGTTCTATAAGAGGACTGTGGTGATGGTTGTGCATATTTGTAAATATACTAAAAAACAATGAATTATATGTTACATGATAACATACAGGTAAGTTTYATGATACGTCTAGGAATATAAAGAAGTATGATCTATAAACCTGAGAAGAACTAAAGTAGGTATGGTAACATATTCTTAAATTTAAGCAGTTTTCTACCTAGAAAATCTCATTTACTAATATAAAAACTTAYATCTAAAAATTCCTTCTTTTCTGATCTGTTGTCAGTGAGCCAGCTATCATATAAGAAATGCTGCTACTACCTGATATGCCCAATTTCCAAAGAAGATATCATTAATGGAATCTGTCCCTGGGCTCCCAGCAAAACCGTTAAGAGAGATAACTTCATTAATATCTCCAAAACTGAAGGCAGCCTTATAGCCTTGGGCATTCAGAGCCTATTGACTAAGGAATGAGATCAGAAAGAACACTAATATTCTCATACTATAGATAGTTTCTTATAATCCAAATAGAACCCAAATAGAATCCAAAAATTTAGACAACCATGTTTCTGTTGTCCTCTGCAAGATGGAATCTCACTATATTGTAGGGCTGGCCTCTAATTCATGTGCTCAAGTAATCCTCTTGCCTCAGCTTCCCAAGTAGCTAAGACTACAGGAACACTCAGTACAAGAACCTTGTTTCTATAAAGAAATACACTTCCAAACTCTTAACTCCCATACTGAAAGCATGGTCAAAATGTTAAGGTGTTTTAAATATATTTTTAATACAATGGAAAACATTTAATCTTGAATATCCAGCGATCAGGGGGAGGAAAAAAATGGTTTTCATAGAAAATTTACCTGAAAAATGAAATTTCTCTTCTGAAAAAAGGGCAAGTTGTGCACATATTCTGCTTTTTTCTTGCAACAAGGTTTCCTTTAAGGCACTTTCTCTATRTCCTCTAGAATTAAGAGCTTCAATAAGCTGGTCTAGCTGTTCACAAGAACTGTAAAAGCACCACCGATTTGGCTTATGCACTGGTTTTGGCAGCTGTGAAGAATCATCACATGGACCTTGGTCAATGTTGTTGGAGGTAGATTCAGACATCAAACGCTCTCCAGTTTTAGTAGATACCTGAGGATCTTGAGACTGTACATTATTCTGAAATGATGAAGGTCTAGGCAATAGCATGTCTTCAGTGAGACCAGAATAATCTTCTTCAATAAACAATCCAGGAATAGAAGGGAAAATCCAGTATCGCCTATACATGCGGTCGCGACCCAAGGGAAAAATATTGGTACATGCTATGGCACTCTGGATTTTTTCTAAGAGCTCTTTCTCTTTCCGTTGTTGTTCCTGTTTTAAAGCTTCTTCCTCATCAGCAGTAAGAGGCTCTTGCATTACACAGTTTATCTCTTCTTGCCTTGTAAATTCTTTAAATCCATTTTGTCCACTTTTCCCTGCAGTTGAATAACATTTAACTTTATCATATTTTAAATTTTCACTAGAAAAATGAGATTAAAAGCTATCCCAAGTTATTATGTGTTATCAAATGAATTATGTCCAATTCAAATTTCATGAATTCATATATTGAAGCCCAAACACCCAATGTGACTGTGTTTGCAGTTAATGCCTTTAAGGAGGTAATTAAGGTAAACGATGTAATAAGAATGGGGCCATTGGGCTGGGGTTGTGGCTCAGAGGAAAGAGAGGTCACCTAGCATGCGTGAGGCACTGGGTTCGATCCTCAGCACCACATAAAAATTAAATAAATGTTAAAAAAAAAAAGAATGGGGCCATAATCCAACAGGATTGGTGTCCTTATAGGTAGTCAAGCTCTTGCTCTCTGGTATGTAGAGAAAAAGCCACAGGGAGAAGGTGCTGCTTGCAAGCCAAGGAAGAGGCATTACCAGACAGCAACCCTGCTGGCATCTTGATTTTTGAACTTCAAGCCTCCAGAAATTGAGAAAACAAATTTCTGCTACTTATATGACCAAAGTCTATGGTATTTCATTGCAGCAGCCCAAGCAGCCTAGTAGACTGTTAGTAAAACATCGACATATTTAAATCTAATGAAACAAACAAAATCTGTAACTTGAGAGTATACTAGTTATTCTCTAATAGCCATCCAGACCATCTAAGGAAAGGCTCAATGAACTACTTTTACAGAGGGCTAGCAAGTATCTCATGCTTTGTTGGTCATATGGTTTGTCACAGGTACTCAGTTCTGGCACTGTGGAACAAAAACAGTAACTGATGATATGTAAATAAATGAGAATGGCTGTGTTCAATAAAATCTGCTTATGGACAATGAAATCTGAATTTCTTATAATTTTCACTTATCACAAAGTATCATTCTTCATTTGATTTTTTTCAACCACTTAAAGATTTTTAGCTTATAATAGTACAGGCCACATATGGCCCACAAACTGTCATTTACTAGTCATTGTATTAAGGTAACAGAACCATTAATATTTAGCTGGATACTATAAAACCCAAAAGAAGGATAACATTTCCTAGGGCAGGCATGAATGGCTACAAGAGAAACTTTTGGTCAAGGAGATAGGAGTAGAAACACAAAACCTTTGGGTTGTACTTTTCCTCTTGCTTTTTCCAACTAGTTAGAATGGAAAGCTGGTGATGAATCACTTGGGAACAYAAAGTTGTTAGCAAAACCCACAGTATGACAAAACTGACAAGATGAAAGAACCTGGACCCCTGATAAACTGGACTTTTATGATATGTTGGAGAATTAAGTTGCTATCTTGTTTCAGTTGCTGTCAAATTGGGTAAATACTTGGGGAGTGTTTCTTCTATTTCTATGCATGAAAGAGATTGTGAAGTTTGGTATGATCTGATTCTTTAAAACTTGGCAGAATTTACCTATAACATCAGTTTAGAACTGATGTTTTCTTTGTGTAAGATTTTTAGTAATGATTCATGTTCTTTAACGGTTAAGGACCAAGGACCATTTATTCACATTTTAAAATTTCTTCATGAACCCATTTTAATAGTTTGTATTTTTCTAGGATTTTGTTCATTTTTACTTAMATTTTCAAATTTATTGTCAGAAAACTGTTACATGTTGTGTGTCTCTCTCTCTCTTTCTCTCTCTCTCTCTATATATATATATATATTTTAATTTTCTTTTTGTTTTGTGGTGCTTGGGATTGGACCTACGACCTTGCATATAAAGGGCAAGTATTCTACCACTGAGCCACATCCTGGGCCCTCCTTATAGTTAAATTTTTATTTTATCTATAGTTATACACTTTACTTTTCAGGATTAATTTTATTTATTGTAACCCTTTGCTGTTTTTGCCCTGAAGTACTGGGAATCAAACCCACGGTCTTCTGCCTGTTAGGCAAGCACTCTACCAATAAGCTACAACCCCAAGTCCTCTGTTCTTTTTAAAAATAAATTTTTTACCTTCTTTTAAAGAACAAAGTTTTGGTATAATTGTTCTTCTTTACTGAGTTTTTAATTTTTGATCAATTCCTACTTTTATTATAATTTCCAACTTATTAAATGCTTAACTTGATGTGTTTCTTCTTACCGAGTTAGTACTAAAAGCTATACATTTTTTTTCCTAAGTAGAGGGACAAGATCCAATGAGTGCTAATATGCAGTATTAAGCAGTTTTAAATGTTTTCTAGTTTTCTTATAGTTTCTCCTTTGACTCATTGCTCACTGTGTGTGTGTATATATATATATATATATATACACAATATTTTTAGCTGTAGATGAACACAATACCTTTATTTTTTTAAAAAAAGTTAGGTTCTCTTTAATACTTTATTTTCTAGTTATAGTTGGATACAACTTTTATCTATCTATTTATATTTATTTATATTTATAGTGCTGAGGATTGAAACCAGTGCCTCACATGGGCTAGGGAAGTGCTCTAACACTGAGCCACAATCCTGGTCCTACTCATATTTTAAAACTGATCACATACAGTTTGTTTGGGATTTTGAAATTAACTGCATTGTAATTAGAGAATTCAGTCTCCAAGATGTAGATTTTCCAACCATTTAGAATATGTGTGTGTGTGTGTGTGTGTGTGTGTGTGTATAATTCCATCCAAATTATAGGCACAAAATTAAGTTAAGGCTCCTCATTAAAATGTTATTAAATGAGATATAAATAAATTAATAAAATAATGAACCAACAACAACTAAATATATATATGTGGTGCTGAGAATCAAACTCAGTGCCCCACACATTAGGCAAGCACTTCACCACTGAGCTCTAAGTGAGGCTAGATGAGTAATTTGTATCAACAGCTTTAAAACAGTGTATTCTCTGTGATCCAGAAATTTATAAAATTATTTTCAGCAGMAGATTTTCATTCTCAGCAATAAAGTTCCAATACAAACATTACTGATCTTTATATCTATTATCACATAGGAGGCACTCAATTCATGTTGAATAAAATATATTATAGCATAAAAATTTTAATTTGGTTTTATATAAAGTAGTAAATGCAAAAACTAAGCAAAACTTGCCAAATGCAATAATGAGAAACTTGAYCCATTAAAGAGATAGGAATATTGTCTCTCTTCCTTATGGTATAAGTGACATCTGAATAAAGATATAATCATAAAAATACTAATGACTTCACATGAACATTTTTAACAAAATGGTTACCATTTTACAACTCAATATGAGCTATAAGATGGGCATTTAACACACACATCATGGAATCAAATGAAAATAATTGAATCTAATATATATTTCAGAACAGCTCTTTCAATAAACTACCTTATCAATTAAAAATAAACAAGCATGTCCTTAAGAAATCTTATTACTGCCAGGTATGAGGCATGCATGTAATCCCAATGACTCAGGAGCTTGAGACAGGAGAATGGCAAATTTGAGGTCACCATGGGCAAATTAACAGGACCTATCTCAAAATTAAAAACAAACAAATAAACAACAAAACAAAGAAACCCTCAATATTATTACCTCTTCTGCTTTTTTTATGTGATCCTAGGTCATCTTCATCTTCAGTGACTGTATCTTGATCAAGGTCCTTTTGTTCTATTTCTTTGCTTTCAGTGCTAGTATCAAAATCTTCCTTTTCTTCCTCCCTTTAAAATAAAAACAAATATATAAACTTATTAATGAATATAATTCCATTCATATTATATTGTCTCACTCTACTGTCATGTATATCTAAAAAAAAATATTGTCTGCCTAAAAAGTATAAGGCATTATGCTTAGGAAGTAGTGGATAATGTAAAACTGTAAACACACAAGTGTTTATAGTCTTGCAGAGAAAACAGATAATTACATAATGTAAAATTAAAATATGTAGTTAAGTACCAAAAGTGGAGGACCTCAAGATGCTAGAAAACATGTCAGGAAGAATCAAATCTATCTAGGATTGAGAGAGTCTTGCTTGAACAGTGTCATTTAAATTGTGACTCCAGGGGGATGGGGAAGTAGTGGGCAGCAGAAGAGAGGAAATCTGCAGATCATGCCGAAAAACAACATATGCACATATGCATAGTCACGAAGCTTATAATTTTGAGAAATGTGTAAGTGAAAAAGCAATAAATCAAGATATATATGAGAAAAATGCAGGGTTAGATCATGCTTGACCTTGGAAGGCATTATACAAAAAGCAATGGGAAAAAACCTAGAGTTTAGAGAAGGAAATTGATATAATTTGAAAGCACTTTGGCTGCTATTTGTAAAGTTAACCAGGTGAAGAAGAAAATGAAGGGACACTAGTAAAGAAGCCACTGTAATAGCGCAGGTGGCTGGCTAGGAGGTGATGGAAGCTCAGAAGGAGAGTAGGAAGGAGATATAGACAAATACGTGGAGAAGAAAAGTAGTTACATTCCTATAAAGTAGGCAGAATGAACACAATATGGAYATTCATATTTACTCTACTATTTTGCTTCAATTAAAACTAAAATTATATGGCCTTGAAATAAATTCCATCATTTATGTTCTACATCATAGAGTGATTTTGCAAGCTCACATGTATTCAGGAGATAGAGATAATATACATAAGTGAGGCTGGATGAGTATAAAAAAAATACAGTGGTGGTACATGCCTAGAACCCCAGCATCTCAGGAGGCTTAGCAAGACCATCAGCAACTTAGTGAGACCCTGACTCAAAATAAAAAATAATAATAATAATAAAAAGGGCTGGGGTATAGCTCAGTGCTAGAGAACCTCTGGGTTAAAAAAAAAAAAAGATTGAAATATGGACTGGGTATAGTTTAATGGTATAGAGCACAAACTTAACGCATGTGCAAGACCTTGGATTCAATCCCCAGCACCAAAAAATAAAAAATAATATAAAATAAAAAATAAATCGAGATAATTTATGATGTGAAAACCAGTATTTAATTCAGAACATTTTCATCATTCAAAAAAAAAAAAAAAAAAGACCCCTCCATATCCATTTATAGTTACTCCACTGCCCCTGGCACTCATTTGCTTTCTGTTTCTATATATTCACTTATTCTGGACATTCATATAAATAGAAACACAATACATGGCATTTTGGGACTAGCTTCTTTAATTTAGCATATTTTCACAGCTCCTTTACATTGCAACATTTATCGGAACTCTATTCCTTTTTATTGCTGAATAATATTCTCCTGTATGATGTACCACAGAAGAAATATACCATTTTGTTTATCCATTTATCAACTGAAAGACATGTAAGCTGTTACCACTCTCTTCAGTTAACAATAATGCTACTATAAACATTTATGTATATATCTTTGAGTGAATGTATACTCTTAATTCTCTTGAGTACATAAGAGAATGGCTGTAACATTTACACACAGCAATATGGTTTAACTTTTGAAGAACTGTCCAGTTACTTTCCAAAACAGTTATACCATTTTACATTCCCATGAGCAATGTATGAGAATTCTAATTTCTTCATATCCTTGTCAATACCTGATGTCCATCAGTTTGAATAAAGTAGTATTGTGGAGCTGGGTGCAGCAGGAGGATCATGCGTTCAAAGCCAGCCTCAGCAAAAAGCAAGGTGCTAAGCAACTCAGGGAGACCCTGTCTCTAAATAAAATACAAAATAGGGCTGGGGATATGGCTCAGTAGTTGAGTGCCCCTGAGTTCAATCCCCAGTACCCACTTCCCCACCAAAAAAAAAAAAAAAAAAAAAAAAAGAGAGAGAGAGAGAGAGAGAAAAGAAAGTGGTACTGTTTTTTTATTTTTTTAGTTATCTGCGGACACAACATCTTTGTTTGTATGTGCTGAGGATCGAACCCGGGCTGCACACATGCCAGGCGAGCACGCTACCGCTTGAGCCACATCCCCAGCCCGGCACTAGGGTTTTAATGTTCACTTCCCTGATGGCTAATGATGTTGGGTGGGTTTTCATGCACTTATCTATATCTTCTTTACCCAAATGTCTATTCAAATCCCATGTCATTTTAAAATTGTTTTGTCTTGGGATGTGATTATGGCTCAGTAGTAGAGTGCTTGCCTAGCATATTCGAGGCACTGGGTTCAATCCTCAGCACTACATAAAAATGAATAAATAAAATAAAGGTATAATTAAAAAAATTGTTGTCTTTTTATTTTTGAATTAAAAGAATTCTTTTTTTTGAGAGAGAGAGTGAGAGAGAGTGAGAAAGAGAGAATTTTTTTTTTAATATTTATTTTTTAGTTTTCGGCGGACACAACATCTTTGTATGTGGTACTGAGGATCGAACCCGGGCTGCACACATGCCAGGCGAGCGCGCTACCGCTAGAGCCACCTCCCCAGCCCAATAAAAGAATTCYTTACATATTCTAGCTACAAGTCCCTTTTCAGATATAGAATTTTCAATTTTTTTCTCTCATTCAATAGGCTGCCTTTTTAAAAAAGACATATTTTCTTTTTAAAAAAATTTAAGTTGTTGATAGATTTTATTTATTTATTTTTATATGGTGCTGAGGACCAAATCCAGTGCCTCACACATGTGAGGAAAGCACTCTACCACTGAGCCACAACCCCAGCCCTCATTAAGTTGCCTTTTATTTCCTTGATAGTGTCTTTTAAATCACATAAGTTGTTCTTGACTAGGCAGAATTAATACAGTCAAAATGGCCATATTACTAAAAGCACTATACAGATTTAATGCAATTTTCTGTTAAAATTCCAAAGATATCCTTCATAGAAACAGAAAAAGCAGTCATGATATTCATTTAGAAAAGCARGAGGCCCAGAATAGCCAAAGCAATCCTTAGCCAGAAAAATGAGGCATCACAATACCAGACCTTAAATTATAATACAGAACAAAAACAGCATGGTATTGGCACCAAAACAGGCAAAAAGACCAGTGGAACAGAATAAAAGACACAGAGACAAACCCACATAAATATAGTTATCTCATACTAGACAAAGGCATCATAAACATACCTTAGAGAAAAGATAGCCTCTTCAACAAATGATGCTGAGAAAACTGAAAATCCATATGTAGTAGAATGAAACTGAACTCCTATCTCTCACTCTGCATAAAACTCAACTCAAAGTGGATCAAGGACCTAAGCATTAGACCAGAGATCCTGTACCTACTAGAAGAAAACAAAGGCCCAACTCTCCATCATGTTGGCTTTATGAACCAGCTTCCTCAACAAGACTCCTATAGCACAARAAATAAAATCAAGGGCTGGGGTTATAGCTCAGTGGTGGAGCTATAACCCCAGGCAAGAGCACTTGCCTCGCATGCGTGAGGCCCTGGGTTTAATCCTCAGCACCACATAGGAAATAAGTAAATAAAAATAAAGATTAAAAAAAAAGAAACAAAATCAAAAATCCATAAATGGGATGGTATCAAACTAGAAAGCTTCTTCACAGTAAGGAAAACAATCAAGAACATGAAGAGAGAGCCTATAGAATGGGAGAAAATCTTTGCCACCTGTACATCAGATAGAGCATTAATCTCCAGGATATACAAAGAACTCAAAAAACATAACAACAACAACAACAAACAACCCAATCAATAAATGGGCAAAAAAAGTGAACAGGCACTTCACAGAAAAAGAAATATGAATGGCCAATAAATATATGAAAAAATGTTCAACATCTCTAGAAATTACAGAAATGCAAATTAAAACTACACTGAGATTTCGCCTCATTCTAGTCAGAACAGCAATTATCAAGAATACAACAATAAATGTTGGCGAGGATGTGGGGGAAAAGGTTCACTTATATATTCCTGGTGGGAATGAAATCTGGTGAAGCTGTATGGAGATTCCTCAGGAAACTTGGAATGGAATCCCCATTTGAGTCCCATAGAATCAAAAGGGTATRATTTTGATACAAAATCTGGAGGCAAAATATGAAAAATCACAAATCATTCTAACTTAAAATTATGCAAAAATCCTAGCAAAATGACATAAATATTTGTTTGAAGAAGCTGTGTGCCATGGCACATGTCTATAGTCCCAAATACTGAGAAGGCTGAGGTAGGAGAAGGATTGAGCCTAAAGAGTTTGAAGCTAGTATATAACCATACCTCAGTATATACCCAAAGGACTTAAAATCAGCATACTACAGTGACGTGGCATCAATATTAATAGTGAACCTATGGAACCAACCTAGATGCCCTTTCAACAGATTATTGGATAAAGAAAATGTGGTATATATACAAAATGGAATACTACTCAGCCATAAAGAAGAATGAAACTATGACATCTGCCAGTAAATGAACGGAACTGGAGATTATCATGCTAAGTGAAAAAAGCCAATCCCAAAAAACCAAAGGCCAAATGTTCTCTTTCTCTGATATGTGGATGATAACATGTAATAAGCTAGGGTAGGGGGTAGAATAGAAGTTCACTGGTTTGGACAAAGTGAATGAAGGAAAGGGAGAGGGATGGGAATAGGAAAGACAGTAGAATTAATTGGACATAACTTTCTTATGYTCATATATGAATACACAAACAGTGAAACATTATGTACAACTGCAAGAATGGGAGCCTATATAGAATAAGTCATGTATGTATGTATATTATGTCAAAGTATATTCTACTGTCATGTGTATCTAAAAAGAATAAATTAAAACACATAAGTTTTAAGTTTTGATTAAGTCCTTTAATTGCTGGTCTTTATGTGCCATTTCTATTAACTTTTTAAATTTTTATTAATTATTTTTGTGTGTGGTATTGGGGATATAACCCAGGAATGTGTTCATGCTAGACAAGTTTTCTCTACACTAGGATAAATCCCTACCTCTTTTTAATTTAATTTTTGGGATACGGTCTTGCTAAATTGCTGAGGCTGGTCTTGAACTTGTGATCCTCCTGCCTTGGTTAACTGAGTCACTGAGATTACAGGGATGCACCACTGCACCTGGCTTTACTTGCTTTCATAACTAATCCTTATTCCAAATATTTGAAAAGCAATAAAATACTTTGGCAGTCTCTAACTTACCTGAGGCACTATCATCCTTTCCCTATACCATAAACTGAAATTTCAAATATCATCCTTCTCTATCTATCAAAGGATCTCTGAAATAGTGGGATGTGGTAATGGAAATAAACGACTCAYGCAAGAAATATTACTGCTTAAAAATAACTTATTGAAAGCTTTCTGTGAAATTACCATTCAAAACATTAATTCTGGGGCTAGGGTTGTAGCTCAGTGGTAGAGCACTAGCCTAGCATGTGAGGCACCAGGTTCAATCCTCAGCACCATATAAAAATAAATAAATAAAAGAAAAAAAATTAATTCTAAGAGAAAATTGGCCTAAAATTTAAAAATTTAATGACAGATCTATACTTGATGACTTTCTATATATACATTTTATAAGTTTGACAGCAATTATTGTGTACTTATAGAAGACTAGTTTACTAAAATTCGGAAGTATTCTAGAGTTTAAGTTACTTGATTTTTATTTACGTATGTTAAGATGAATAAATAAAGCCAGGTAAGCAGTGTAGTTCAAATCATACCCTATAGATAAATCTGCTGTTGAATTTCTTTGCTCATCTTCCTTCAGTTTTTCTTGTTTTTCTTTCATTTTTTGTTCTTGCTCCTTAAGTTTTTCTTCCTTCCTTTTACGAATTCTGAAAGTCAAAGTAAAATATTATAGTCTACTGATGCAAAGATATGTTAAAAATTTCAGGATCTTGTATTTAATTATTCATTATGAAAAGTGCTCCAAATGTTATTACAGTCCATTCAATAACTTCTTTGTAAAGCCATCAAACATCAGAATAAGTAACAGAATGTAAAATACTATTTTTACGAAGAAATATATATATATATATATATATATATATATATATTTTTTTTTTTTTTTTTTTGGGTACTGGGAATTGAACTCAGGGGCACTCAACCACTGAGCCACATCCCAGCCCTATTTTGTATTTTATTTAGAGACAGGGAGGGTGTCTCACTTAGTGCCCAGCTAAGAGTTGCTCAGTGCCTAAGTTGCTGAGGCTGGCTTTGAACTTGAGAATCTTCTGTCTCAGCCTCCAGAACCACTGGGATTACAGGCGTGTGTCACTACACCTGGAGAAATCAATAGCTTTTAATAGCATGACTGACTGTAATTATATCTTACCTAGCAGCTGCTTCTTCCCTCTCTTTTCGATGTTGTTCTGCTTTTAATTCCCGGAATTCCTGTTTTGCCTGTCGTAATATATCAACATAATCTTCAATGAAATCCCGAGTAGAAACTAGGGTCAGTAGCTTCCCACAGAGAGCATGAAGTATCTTCATTTTTTCTCCTGTCAAAAATTGGTAAACAAAAAAAAAAAAAATTGGTAAACAAGACTTCTGTATTATCAATGAGAAAAAGAGGAATTGTGTTGGAAAATTTTAAATTTGTGGCTCAATATGGAATACCTAATAAATAATAAGGAGTACTCTCTAATGGTCAAACATGCTAATGGCATCTTTTCAAAGCAACTTTGAATCCAATTTAGTAGCAATGTGATATATAAGTCACTTTAAAATAGTAATATCTATCTTGTATACTAGCTAAGGGACATGAAAAATTTTCTAATTGCAAAAATTATTTTAAGTTTTCATWTTTAGGCTCACTAATAAAATTCAAATCAAAACTAAATTATGATCATGTGAATAAAAAATTGGCAACAAACTGCTACTCTGAAGAGATTGCACAAAGTCACTGCTATAAATTATAAAGATATATGAATGTTGGGAAATAAGGTGCTCTACATTTATTATATATTCTCTAAAGTTCATTAAATTTTTTACATTTTTTATGTTATAATATGAAAAACAGGTTCAATTTAGGTCATTATTTGTAGTCTAATAAATTTTTCTTAAAAGACTTATCTTTTTTAACTTTCTCTTTTAAAACTGATATCATCTAAACTTTCTCATCAGTTAATTTGTTTTTGGGCACAAGAGACACAAAAGGATGGGAAGTGGGCAGTTTACAAAAATTTCAACTTGCTAAGTTTACCTGGTGTCAAATCATACACTGAAGTGCTTGATAGCTTTTTTAGTAGGCTGGGGTTGCTCAAACGAAGCTCCATACAGGCATCATCTGTAGCATCAAATCCTCCTCGTTTCTGATATCTGTACTTTGCATTTGCTGATGTTACATCAGCACCTGAAGCTAAGATGTGTAGTCTGAGTATTTCAGAAAGAGTGCAGCTATCAAGATCCAAGCTTTTCAAACTGCAGCCTGTAGTTGTTAAAAATGAAAGAGTCATTTAGGACAATAAATACTTAGCAATTTAAAATATACCTTTATAAATTAAAAAATAAAAAGTCAAATAAGCAAATAAATAAATAAAATAAAATAAAACCCACACATACCCTGGTGTAACTGTGGCCATGCAGCTGCCAAAGATGCAACTGCAGACAGTGCAGATTTTGTGGGGTCTGCATCTTCATCCAAAGCCTCTGTTAAATCTTTAAGGAAATAAATACTTTATTCTAGTGCAAATCAAAGCTTGAATATTTGGGAATAATGCCCTTTTAAAATGATGAAAGAAATAGAATCAACTTAACATTCAGGAACCTCAAAAGAACCAACACTAAGTACAAGCATTATTCACATTCTGCCTAGTCTCCACCTATAACTTTTCATCCTAAAACACACATGCCACACTAACATTTTCCTTACATAACATAAAGAAGGCAATTTCCAAATTACCAACAAGATGCACTTACATATTACAAAAACACAGTAAAATGCACTTTAGAATTAGAAACAAATCCTCTCATTCAACATCACCTTAGAAAAAGCCCACTTTGAAAACTGGAATCCACTTAAAGCTACCCAATCTTTTATAAATATTTTAAGATCAAATCTTAAAATAAAGGCTATAATCATCACAAAATCAACCCAGAAAAAGAGATAAAGAGAATTACTAAGCACTGCTGTTAGTACTTATTTAACCTTTTCATTAAAATTTCCAATCTTTATTTTGAAATATCTCCAATCCAAGAAACAATGGGAATATTTCCTTGTATTTTCCAAATGAACTGCTTTAGATTTGAAAAAAAAAAATGCTTGGCTTAAAAGTAGGACTAAACAACAAATCTACTGGTAAAAATGTAAAGCATTAGAATAAACAATCCTAATTATGATATACGGATTGATTAAAAAAAGATTAAGTTTAGAGAAAGAACTGCTATCCTTTAATAAAGGAAAGAGGTAGCTCTAAGATCACATCTAATTATAATAATTGACTATGTCATGACACTAAAAGCATCAACAGGATGACACACAAGTTATTTGACTAAACTTATCACACATGACAAAGTCATACCTATCAGGCCTAATCTAGCCCAATGACAGACAATGTATTTTTTTCTCACCAAGGAAAATTAGACTTAAAACTTTCAATTTTCATTTTACATATAAAGCCAAACAAAATTAATAGGCACTCTAATTTTTTCCCAATCAGGACTTCAAAAACTACAAAATTCATCTAGTCCTAGATACACAACTATAAAACTGTGTTGGCTCTCTTTCTCAGCAGCAGCATCAACCTATACTATCTATAAAAAGTTATAATTTCCTAGGACCAAGGTTATAAACACCTTAGGTACTGAATCACCAGTGCAAGGACAGCTTATTTATTTATTTGTTTTGCAGTGGTGGGGATGGAACCCAGGGCTTCCTGCAATGCTAGCTAAGCACTCTGCCAATGAGCTACATTTCCAGCAGGCCAGTTATTTTTAATTGGGTTAAAATAAAGTAACATGTTAAAATATGTATTCTGTAGCTCCATTATCTGTGATATAGCACTCTTGAGAAATTGTAAATATCACTGTAAGATTTGTTTAGATAGTCACTTGGCTATATCACATGAAAAGAATATAGCTGAAATATATCTATGACTATCTGAAACACATTATCATCTTAATCTAAAATTAATACATACAATTCCAACACTAAACAAGATATCCCAGCAAATACATAAAACTGTTCTATGTAAGAAGGATGCTCTTGTTTTTATAATTTACTTTTATTCTGTTTTGGTGTTGGGGATCAAAAACCCAGGGCCTTCTATATAAATATGCACTTCACCAATGAGCTACCAACCCGTTCCCATGCTCCGAAGGGCTTTTAAGTTCATGATGTAAGACTGAAGACAGGATTTTAAAATGTAAGATTTTAAAAACTGCTAATCAACATTTCTAAGACTTGATATAAAAACAGAGGTCAAGTACTAAAGAAGTTATATCTTCTTGAATTTTATGGGTTATATCTTCTTGAATTTTATGGGTAATGCTAGTGAGACAAATATTCAAATTTTCAACTTTGCTGCCATATTTAGAGGCAACATGGTAGTCATTATGAGGGTCTAGATCAACCAAGCTTGTACCCAATTTCCTTACTCATGTTTCCTTAAGCACACCTCATTTCTTTATATGTAAAATGCAGACAATTATTATATCTGCCTCACAAAGGTGGCCTGAGAATTAAATGAAGTAACACGTAGTGTTATATCAATTCTAACTATGTGATCTTTATTACATAACTTCATTGAACCGAGTTTTCCCATCACTAGATAAATTAATTCTTCTCTTTCTGATCAATTTTCCTCTTGCTAGAAATTGCAGAAAACATCTTACTAATAACACCATCACTAAGGAGAAGTAAGACGATATTCAATCCCATGTGATTCTTTAATTGATTTTTAGGAAGAGGTGTGAAAAAGCTTTTTTTTGTTACTGAGATAGGAGAATAGATGTGAGGAAAAGTGTCAATTTTTATTCAGATAGACAGACTTTATATTTATACTTATAGATAGTCCTTTATAAAAATGGAGCTATAAAATTTGCAGATTAAACAAATGGCAATACAAACCATATCCTTTCATATATATATATTTCCTTTATATTAAATGATTTTTCAACACAATTTCCTTTTTACTCCCCCCTCCCTTTTTACCCCCCAACTGGGACTTCAAAAATTATAAAATTTATCTGTTTAAATCCTGAATTAAATATAGCCTTATGTCTTGTATTAAGGTCAGAACTTAATCAATAACCCTCTTAGGTTATTTGCTATGATTTAAACAATGGCTAAAAGAATATTTTCATTTAATTGACTAAATTATCTGAGAAAACAACAGGGGTTATATTGCTAAAATGGCCTTGATAAGGGACCCACGGTGATTATGCTCAAGCTGGACACTAGGGCAACCAACATCAGATGCATACTCATCAATACCCTATTGCTTCAGGAACTAGACATAAAGAAAGATAAGCTCAAATTGTCTAAGGCCAATGAAACTATCAGAATGGAGAAATGCCCCATTTTTTTGTATTCAGTTGTTTCTGAGCAGTTATTTCTTTTCTTTTTTGGTACTGGGGATTGAACCCAGGGACACTTAACCACTGAGCCACATCCTCAGCCGTTTTTTATATTTTATTTAGAGATAGGGTCTTGCTGAGTTGCTGAGGCTAACTTTGAACTCTTGATCCTCCTGCCTCAGCCTCCTGAGCCTCTGAGATGACAGGCATGCACCACCATGCCTGGTACTCCTAGCAGTTATTTTTTATTGTGAATTCTTATGAAATACCCTTGTCATTTAATCAAGCTTCTGGTCCTAATCTTCTTATGTTGGATGTTCACAGAGTATTATTCAGGAAGCCAAATCAATCTCTGAATATAAGTGCTTAACCTTTCCTCTGATCAAGGTAAATACTAAATGAAACAGTGAACATACTGTTTTAAAAAATAAAAAAAAAGATCTCCTTTGAGAATTATTCCTATATTAACATACCAAAAGACTCTAGATATTTAAGATCACAGAATTTAAAGAGCAAAATTTGTAGTTCAAACTAGTTAAATAAAAGTGAAATTTTTCTTAACTCTGTTCTAAAAACTTTCAGATCTGAAATAAAATCATAAGTAGTATTTTTTATTTCAAGTATTAATAATAATTCGTTTTTCCTAAGATGGGGCTAACAAAAATGAGTGTTATTTAATATAATATCTTGGGATTACAGATACTAGCCAGTGAAATCTGTAATATTCCTAATCAGAGGTAAAAATCTAAAGGAATGAAAGCAAAATAGATTGTGGGAAGATGTCTTTAAGGTCAYTGGAACCAGATTACTTTAAAGTAAAGTTTTTATAAAATAAGAGGTAAAATGTTGTCAGTATTAGTATCTGACCTGTTATCAGGTAACCTGAATAACTATATTTTCTAACTGTAAAGGCCAAGTTAACTTTAAAATAAACTTTAAAAACTAGTTTCAATATAAAGCTACTATGGTTCAATCAGCAATAATATTGAATTCTGACCTTTGGTGTCCGCATCTGTTATTTGCTCTTTGGCTACTTCCTCTTCTTCTTCAGCTATCGCCTGGAAGATTGCAGTCAGGAAGAAAAAAAGCAATTCACATAGTGGGCCTTCACTGTCATTTCCTACAAGAGCTTCCTCTAACACTTCTGTGAATAAAATGTTTAAAATGAATTTAAAGTTTTATTCATATTTGAAAAAACAACTCAACTGGAATAATAAACATTTAATCAACAATAGAAAGCAAGGCCAAGTATTATATCCAAGTAAAAATTTTTAAATATTCATAATGATTACAAATAAAATACAATAAAATCATAAGTCAAAGTTACTATTTTCTCAAGCAAGCCAAAATAGCTTGAACAGCCCAATATTTCATTCAAATTTAAATGTGAGGCACACAAAAGATAAAAGAAATACTGTTTTGTCTGTTTTCCTTTGTGAAACTAAGAAAAAGGTAAAAAAGAAAAACTATTTAAAGGTGATTGATATCTATGTACAAAGTATTATCATGTAAAAATCCTAAGAATYCCACTGAGCCATTTGTTACATGAATTTGCCTGAGATGTAAAATTCGGTTGTAGAGAATTTATGAAAAAAAATTTACTTTGAGGAAAAATATATCACTAAAATCTGCAAAAAAAAAAAAAAATTAAATGGGAGGCACAAATTCAGGCACTTTACAGATTATAATTTTATTCTGATTAGCAAATATTTGTTATTGTATCCCACTGTTCCCAAAAGGTGTGTAGGACATTGTTGTTCACTAATTATTGCATAGGAAAGGTAATTATTAGCTTTAATTTTTTTTAAAGAGAGAGAATTTTTTAATATTTATTTTTTAGTTTTCGGTGGACACAACATCTTTATTTTATTTTATTTTATTTTTTTCAAAAGAGAGAGTGAGAGAGACAGAGAGAGAGAGAGAGAGAGAGAGAATTTTAACATTTATTCATTTTTTCTTAGTTCTCGACGGACACAACATCTTTGTTGGTATGTGGTGCTGCTGAGGATCGAACCCGGGCCTCGCGCATGCTAGGCGAGCGCTCTACCGCTTGAGCCACATCCACAGCCCCTTTATTTTATTTTTATGTGGTGCTGAGGATCAAACCCAGTGCCCTGCACATGCCAGGAGAGCGCACTACCGCTTGATCCACCCACATTCCCAGCCCAGCTTTAAATTTTAATCGCAATATTGTGTTCAAGTGTTAAATAAATGCTTCTTATCTAATTTGTCTTACCTATACCAGCACTGTTTAAACCTTTTTGATTGGTAAGGCACAATGATTCATATCTAGCTCATAAGGAAAAACTGAAGAATTTCAAAGCCCCTTGAATTTTTTTTTTTTTTGAGACAGGGTCTTGCTATGTTACCCATGCTTGGTTCAAATTCATAATTCTCCAGTCTCAGTCTCCTGAGTAGCTGAAATGAAAGGTGTGTATTACCATGCCTGGCTTAAGAATACCCTCTTATTAAAACTGAGACCATAATTATAATTCTGTTTTTTGAGGGTTCCTATGTGGATTTTTTTTTCTTTTGGTATTGAGAAATTGAACTCAGGAGTGCTTATTCGCTAAGTCCCAGCTCCAGCCCCAGCCCTTTTGGTTATTTTCTATTTTGAGGCAGGGTCTCATTACATTGCTAAGGCTGGCTTTGAACTTGTGATCCTCCTGCCTCAGCATCCCCAGCCACTTGGATTACAGGTGTGCACCACTGCTTCCTGCATGCATACATGGATCTTAATATTTTGTCTACTGAACAGCTAAAAATTCAAAATTAGACCTAAATCTCTCCTTAAACTCTATTATAAATATTTATACAAAGTAAAAGTATGTAAGTAGACAGATAAGCAGAATTACAAATCAAAGGGAGGTAATCATTTGTCAGTAACCATGCGCACACCACTCAAGTAGTGGAGTCTATTCCTCCAACCCCTTCAGTTCCAGGTGGCTTGTAACTGCTCTGACCAATGGAATGTGGCCTAAATAATACTGTGCTGGTTTCAGGCCTAATCTTTCAGAGGGCTGGCAGTTTCTGTTTTCTTGCCTTCTGAACCTTCAGCTGCCACATAAGTAAGAAGAAATGGAAGGCCATGTGAAGAGAACTGAGGCATCAGACATGTGCATTAAGAAGCCATCTCAAACATCTATCCAGTTAAGCCTTTGGATGATTATGATCYTAACTAGGTAATAACACAAGAGAACCCAAGAAATAATGGAACAGTTAAGTCTAGTGACCTTAAGAACTTTGAGAAGTAGCTTACTTTTTTAAAAATATTTTTAAATTGTCAATGGATCTTTATTTATTTATATGCAGTACTGAGAATCAAACCTAGTGCTTCACACATGCTAGGCAAGTGTTCTACCACTGAGCCACAAACCCAGCCCCAATAGCTTGTTTTTCTTAAGCCGGTAATGAAGGGTAAACTACATAACATATCAGTATATAATTAGAGTACTTGCCTAGGGTTACGCCCTCAGGAAATTCATCTTGAAGATCAAAAAGTTCCCCAAATGCATTAAGGAACTCCAAAACCATTAGAGCATCACCAAAGATTTCAGGAGGTAGTCTAGTTTTCACTGGAGTTGGTTCTGGAAGTTCCTGCAAGATTAAGCAATTTATATAACTTTTGAATCAAGTATAGGTAAATGCAGTATACTCTTCACCTAATAAAAATTATTCTATATAAACCAGCTGTCTTTAATAATCCTGGATGTTTATATAATCACCTTTGGAACTCTTATAGATTTCATGGACTTCCAACTTTACTAGCAAGGGACTCTGAGAAAAAAATATTATTCTTCCTAAAACTGAGAATGTAACTTTAAGCTGAAGTGAATTTCTGACTCTATTTCCTAGCTAAGAGGGCCTTTTAATCTAGATTTTGAAGTCAAATTAGTTATGMAAATGTTGTCTTCAGTGCAGTATCTCCTTATGATATGAAATATAATCCCAACAGACTGATTTGAAAGTGCTTCCTTATAAGCTGGGAATGAGTTTGGTTTTAGGTACTTAGGTTCTTCTGGAAAAAGGCAAGAATCTGTACCTAGTAATCAGCCTTAATGCATGCCTGGCGACAGCACTTACCAAATTGTCAAGGATCACAAAAACTGATCAATTATTTCTACAGAATAGTAATTATTGTCAAAGTTTTTTTTTTTTTTTTTTAAACAAAGCACTAGCAATGCTACCTTGGAACTCTAAGGCTGAATATTTGCTTAACTGGTTATTTCCTTTCAGTTAAACATAAAGAAAAGAGGTCACTATTAAATGAAAGAAACATTTCATCAGCAAAGCCACATACAACATATAAAATACACATGTGCCAAATATCATATAACATGCTTTTACCTTAAGGTCATCACATTCCATATCTTCTCTTGGTTTACTCCATTGTTTTAGGTATTCCATATATTTTCGCTTTTCTTCACGTAATTTCTCTCTTTCCTAATTAAAAAACGGTTAGTAATAATTCTTTGAAGAAATTTAATAAACTTGAGATCTTGTTAGAAATACAAATACTTGGGCCCCATCCTAGGCTTACCAAATCAGGAACTCTGAGGTTAGGAGTAGCAATTGGTTAAAAAACCCTTCTGGTAACTTCAATGTACATTAATGTTTTAGAACCACTGGACAGAATAATACCTATTAAGTAATTCTACAAAGACCAAAAATGCCTGGTACATACTGGTTCCTGAATAAATATTAATTTAACTCATACTGCCCACTCACTACTTGAATTCAATTACATCCTGACAAAGTAAATTAACATTASAATACTTAAATAAAACCTCCCCTTCAGTTTATAATACATTTGTTATTTTCAAGATTAATTTGAATCTGTTAACAGCTCAGAGACATGCAGAGGAACATAAGTAAAAGCAACAACAATATTATATAGTTCATGGACTTCTCATTCTTATAATCCAGGCTATTTCTCTGTTCACTTGGTCTTTTGTTGAAAACTTAATTTCTTTGTTCTGATATTTGAAGCTGCAAGGTAAATACTGTAAGGTCTCTAATAAAGCAGCACAAATAAAATATTTCATCATTATTTCCCAGTAAACATTTTTAATATACATTAAAACTATATTCTAACTTTGAATTTTAGGAACATGAAAGATAACTATGCACTTATCAATTTTTCCACATAAAAGGGCTAGTTAGAGAACTTATTAACTGTGCTTTGAGCAGTCTGCTATAATGTTTTTCTCCTAAAAAACAATTCTTACAGGACATAATACGATGGGCATTCTCATTCATTGTTGCTGAGAGTGTATAAATAAGCCCATGTTTGACAAATATTTAGCTAAGTATATATATAGAAAGTATTTTAAGTGTTCTTAGCCTCTGACCTACTATTCTACATATTAATTCAGGGGCAGAGCAAAAAACAACAAACAAAAAAGAAATTTGGATTTATGAGAAAAAGACTATAAAGTGCTTAATTTTAGTTATTTGATGAATTATTGGGCAGTCACTAAAAATTCCACTTTAGGTTATTTAATAATATGAAGGAATGTTTATAATAAATATTAGGTGAAAACAGAATATAAARTTATAAATGGTAAGTGCTCTAACTATTTAAGACCTTGAATAAAGGCTGGAAATTAATTCAAGTGTTATTTTAATTCCATCCCTAACTGTTACCATTAAATTACAAGTGATTCTTATTCTCTACATTTCCAGAGTAAGTTTGTATTTGGCCCTTGACAGCACACTAAGAGCCTATTTGAAATATTTCAAGAAACTATAGGCAATTTAAATGAATACAGTGTATAACCTGATCCTCTGAGGCTAGTTGTAGAYATCCCAAAAATCCACCTATGAAAATGTCTAAGTTGAACAGAACCAGCTACAGACTTTTGTTAAGAAACATCTACCACTGAAGACTATAAAGATTTGCTGGAATACCCTATTATTATACACACTTAATTTTTCAAGGAGGATAAGAACACCATAATAAATTCTTAATAATCATAGAATTTATTTATTTTAGTTTTTCATTAATGTAGACAGGGTCTTACTATGCTGACCAGACAGGCCTTTAACTCTTGGGTTCAAATGGCTCTGCTGCCTTTTCCCTATATGTAGCTAGGACTACAGGTATGTGCCTGATTTGAATTTACTATATTTTATCACTATTTATTTCTTTTACCTTTGAAAGTTTCATGCATAATAATTGTCCTAAATTTGGAATTCTAAATAATGAAGATCATTTGGGTTGCACTTTAAGTTTTAAGTTTGGCATAAAGACATGTAGAAATATATTGAATCTTGCAGGGCACCTGTAATTCCAGCTACTTAGGAGGCAAGTTCAAGGCTAGCCTTGGCAACTCAGTGAGACCACCCCATTTCAAAATAAAAAGTATAAAAAGGGCTGGGGATGTAGATCAGTTATAGAGATCCACTGGGTTCAATCCCCAGTACCGTGTGAATGAAATTAGTAAAGTATTTGAAAATTAACCATGAATTTAAATATGTGAAGTAATATTACTATTTGTAGAAGCACAACTAATATTCTAAAATAAATACCTTTTCTCTTTCTATTTTAAGTCTCTCTTTTTCCTCTTTTTTCTTTAGTCTTTCTTCTTCAACAATCTTCTTCAATTCTTCCCTCTTTTTCTCTTTATCCTCCTTTTCTTTCTTTTTTGCTTCTAGGGCATCTGCTTTTTCTCTTTTTAATTTAGCCTTTTGGAAAGCTGTGGAGAAGGTCAAACTTAAAAATGTAAACAGGCAAAAACAACATTTGACATTTTTTTATGCAACAAAAAAAGCCCTGACATAATTTATGGTTAAATGAGATTAGTAGAGACAAAATTCCCRAAGGGAGTCAGCAGATAATAGATTAAAATGGGAAAAGCAAATTGGTTAGGTTTAAGACAAACTACAGTACTGGGACAAACAAATCCTTCCTTTGAAAGCCCTGATACTCAAACTGTGGTCTAAAGACAGGGCAAGGTAATCATCTTGTTAAAAATGTAGAATTTCAAGAGATCCAAGATGGCGGAATAGGGGAGATCCCTTTCTGGCTGCTCTGTGGCATGAAACCAAGAAAGTAGACAGGGAGCTTCTCCACAAGGTCTCGCCTAGAGGGAATACAACATCTGAGAGAGTGGGAGAAGACCCCTATACACAGGATTTTCACAGAAATCACCAGTGCTGCAACCACCCATGCAGAAATCAGAGCCTATGTGCTCGAGTTAAGTCTCCGGACTTCGGACCCAAAGCCCGCAGGTCTAGCTCACACAGGGCTCACAAGCGGCTCACAAGCGGCTCACTGTTCAGCACCTCTGCAGAACTCCAGACTGCGCTCTGCTCCCACACAGGTCACTCAGCCGCTATCTATCCACAGCTCCGCCCAGCTCCGCCCAACTCAGGAGACACCCTGGCACTGGAAACAGAACAACTTCATCTTGGAAAAACTTCCTCACCATTTTTTTTGGTGGGTGTGGCTACCAGATGGAATCGCCATCTGAGCAGGAGAGATCTTGGAACTCTACAAGAGTACTACAAATCTATAGGGTTAAAAACAAGAACACACCAGATCCACAGAGCTGGAAAGGAAGACACATGAGCAACATGAAAAGGGAAGAAAGTACCACAAACAAATCAAGGCAACACATCATTAGAAGAATTGGCAGCTACAGCAGAAAAAAGGACAGAGAAAGATTTCAGGATACACATGGTTAAAATGTTTTGGGATCTCAAAGACATAAGAGAACAAATACAGGCAGTGAAAGATCACTGACAATGAGCTACATAAACAAATCCAAGAAGCAAAAGATCACCTCAACAGGGAGATAGAGGTTTTAAAAAAGAACCAAACAGAAATCCTTGAAATGAAAGAAATAATAAAGCAAAGTAAAAACTCAAATGAAAGCCATCACCAACAGAGTAGACCACTTAGAAGATAGGATATCAGACAATGAAGATAAAATAAATCATCTTGAAAAGAACATACACCACACAGCGAAAATGATAAGAAACCAAGAGCAGAACATTCAAGAAATATGGGATAGCATAAAAAGACCAAATTTAAGAGTTATTGGGATAGAGGAAGACATAGAAGTCCAAACCAAAGGAATGAACAATCTATTCAATGAAATAATATCAGAAAACTTTCCAAACATGAAGGACGAATTGGAAATCCAAATTCAAAAAGCCTACAGGACGCCAAATGTACAAAATCACAACAGATCCACACCAAGGCAGATAATAATGAAAGTGACATACAGAATAAGAAATTTTAAAAGTCACAAGAGAAAGGAATCAGATTACATATAAGGGAAAACCAATTAGGATAACAGCAGATTTTTTAACACAGACTCTAAAAGCTAGAAGATCCTGGAACAACATATATATAATGGGTGCCAACCAAGAATCCTGTATCCAACAAGATTAAGCTTTAGATTTGAAGATGAAATAAAAACCTTCCACAATAAACAAAAGTTAAAAAGAATTTCTAGTTAGAAAACCAGCACTACAAAACATCCTTGGCAGAATATTTTATGAAGAGGGGGCTGGGGTTGTGACTCTGGGGCTAGGGTTGTGGCTCAGTGGTACCATGCTCGCCTAGCACATGTGAGGCCCTGGGTTCAATCCTCAGCACCACATAAAAATAAATAAATAAAGGTATCGTGTTCAACTACAACTAAAAAAAAATTCATGAAGAGGAAATGAAAAACAACAATGAAAATCAGCAGAGGGAGGTAGTACACTAAAGGAAAACTAATAAAAGAGGAAAACTAATTCAAGTTAAATAATAAAAATAAACAAATATGGCTGGAAATACAAACCATCTCTCAACAGTAACCCAAAGTGTTAATGACTTAAACTCACCAATCAAAAGACACAGGCTAGCAGACTGGATTAAAAAAAAAACCCAACAATATGCTGCCTCTAGGAGACTCATCTGATAGGAAAAGACATAACACAGACTGTAGGTGAAAGGTTGGGAAAAATCATACCATTCACATGGACTGTGGAAGCAAGCAGGGGTTTCCATACTCATATCAAATAAAGTAGACTTCAAGCTAAAATTAATCAAAAGGGATATAGATRGACATTATATACTGCTCAAGGAACTACACACCAACAGGCATAACAATCATAAATATATATGCTCAAACAATAGTGCAGCTATGTTCATCAAACAAAATCTTCTCAAGTTCAAGAGTCAAACTGACCACAACACAATAATCTTGGATGACTTTAATATAATTCTCTCTCCACTGGATAGATCTTCCAAACAAAAGCTGAATAAAGAAACTATAGAACTCAATAACATAATCAGTAACTTTAACTTAACTAACATATATAGAATATTTCAACCTGTATCAAGTGGATMCACTTTCTTCTCAGCACCACATGGATCTTTCTCTAAAATAGACAATATACTATGCCACAAAGCAACTGTTAGCAAATACAAAAAAGTAGAGATACTAACAGGCATTTTATCATATTATGAYAGAGTGAAACTGGAAATCAACGAAAAAAATAAAAAATAAAAATTTCTCCATCACCTGGAGACTAAACAATATGCTGCTGAATGAACAATGGGTTACAGAAGACATCTAGGAGATTAAAAAATTCATAGAGGTAAATGAGAACATAGACATAACATATSGAAATCTCTGGGACACTATGAAAGCAGTACTAAGAGGAAAATTCAATGCATGGAGTTCATTCCTTAAAAGAAGAAAAAGTCAACAAATAAATGACCTCACATTACATCTCAAAGCCCTAGAAAAATGAACAAAAAACCGGCAGCAAAAGCAGTAGAAGGAAAGAAATAATTAAAATTAGAGCTGAAATCAACGAAATCGAAACATCAACAACAACAAAAACAATTTAAAAAATTGACAAAACAAAAAGTTGGTTCTTTAAAAAAAATAAATAAAATTGACAGACTCTTAGCCACGCTAACGAAGAGAAGGAGAGAGAACTCACAAATTACCAGCATACATGATGAAAAATGTAATATTACAAAAGACACACATAAATACAGAGGATAATTAGAAATTATTTTGAAATCTTATACTMCAATAAAATAGAAGACATTGAAGGCATCAACAAATTTCTTAAGTCACATGATCTRCCCAGATTGAGTCAGGAAGATATACACAATTTAAACAGACCAATTATCAAGTGAGGAAATAGAAGAAGCCATTAAAAGCTTACCAACCAAGAAAAGCCCAGGACCAGATGGATACACACCTGAGTTTTACAAGACCTTTAAAGAAGAACTAATATCAATATTCTTCAATTTATTTCAGGAAATAGAAAAAGAGGCAGCAATTCCAAACTTATTCTGTAAGGCCAACATCACCTGATTCCAAAACCAGGAAAAGACACATCAAAGAAAGAAAACTTCAGACCAATATCTCTAATGAACATAGATCCAAAAATTCTCAATAAAATTCTGGCAAATCAAATACAAAACATATCAAAAAGATTGTGCACCATGATCAAGTGGGATTCATTTCCAGGGATGCAAGGTTGGTTCAACATACAGAAATCAATACATGTAATTCATCACATCAATAGACTTAAAGATAAGAATCATATGATCATCTCAACAGATGCAGAAAAAACTATTAACAAAATACAGCACCCCTTTAGGCTCAAAACACTAGAAAAACTAGGGATAACAGGAACATATCTCAACTTCGTAAAGGCTATCTACGCTAAGACTCAGGCCAACATCATTCTAAATGGAGAAAAATTGAAGGCATTCCCTCTAAAAAACTGGAATAAGACAGGGATGCCCTCTTACACCACTTCTATTCAACATAGTTCTTGAGCAATTAGACAAAAGAAATCAAAGGGATATTTATAGGAAAAGAAGAACTTAAATTAGCAATATTTGCCAACGATATGATTATATACCTAGAAGACCCAAAAAATTCTACCAGAAAACTTCTAGAACTAGTAAATGAATTCAGCAAAGTAGAAGGATATAAAATCAACACCTATAAATCAAAAGCATTTCTGTATATCAGTGACAAAGCCTCTGAAAAGGAAATGAGAAAAGCTACCCCATTCACAATATCAAAAAAAAAAAAAAAGATACTTGGTAATCAACTTAATGAAAGAGGTGAAAGATCTATACAATGAAGACTATAGAACCCTAAAGAGAGAAATCAAAGAAGACCTTAGAAGATGGAAAGATCTACCTTGCTCTTGGATAGGCAGAATTAACATTATCAAAATGACCATACTATCAAAAGCACTATACAGATTTAATGCTATTCCAATCAAAATCTCAATGGCATTCCTCATAGA